CCTTACTGCTCGCGTCTGCGGGGCGGCGTTGTGCGATTACGGATGGGAGCCATCGCGAGGTAGGGTTTGTGAGAAGTCGAGGAGATGATGATGGGCTAACAATGAAGGAAATGCAGGTGGCATGGCCCGCACATCGGGCGCATTTTATCGTTGTGCGCGTACCTACATACCGCGTTGAGCAGGCCCCCGCGTACTGCTGCCAGTGCACTCGAAGATGCCCGCTCAACCCTGAACGGCTAGGTAGGTATGCCCCCAGCCATCCCGTCATGTTCTACTCATGATTTCGTTCATACAGGCCACAGAAAATGCGCAGGAAATGGGCCGCAAGACCGGCTCGTTGCGAGCCCGTGCAGCTAATGACAAATGCAGGTATGTAGTCGCAACCTGCCGAGCCTCGAGCTGTGTTTGAACGTTTCGAAGCGGCCTGGCCGCCGCATTTTCACCGTTTACGCGCAGATGATTTTGACTCGCACATCCGACACGGCCACTTCGCCAATTCACGCCAGCATCTCACGAACTCCGGTCTAGAGCGAAGGACAAGGTACCGGCTCTCGGTGCTTGTGTGGTCCGGCATAGTGCACACAACAAGCGACCCGCATGCTCGGATTGTGCCCAGCCTCGGTGAGTGCCACTTCGCCTGAAGGACACGACGGTTTGCGTCATTTATTGATGGTCATGGCAGGGCATCACACATCACTCCCGGGGAGCTGCGTCCTGTCCTCGCCGAACGGGACCTCAATTCAAGGTGGGCTTCAATATTAGCCTAGAGGTGCGTACACAAGTTGAGCGGGCGCACTTCGCGTGGCGTATCTCTAATAACTAATGGCGCGCTCCTCTCAGATACTAACGAGTGTTCAAAAATATATTTATTGAGGCATGTGCAATGTGAGGGCTGCCGTGCGGGCGAGACCTCGCACCTTCAGTGTGCACTAATAAAGCTCCGTATTGATACGATGATGATCTTCAAAAGGCGGCGAGTGGAGCCTTCTCCGACACCGTTTTCAGCCGAGGAATATCGTGTCTCGAGCGCGGTCGAGATCGCTGTTTGGTAGCGAGGCTGAATGTGCGCGCGCTGATGCGATTACCACATGCAAGAGAGGCTGGTTTCACCTCGCTCAAGACATGCCTGAGCAGGGCCTACGGAACGCTCAGCATCGTCCAAATTAGCTGAATCTTGGTGTAGCATAGCGTACTCGTCTGCCGCAATGTCCGCGTGTTCAAGTACGCGCCTCGATCGAACTGCGTCGTCTGTTCGAAGATGCGAAAATATTAGTATAGCATCTTATGGACCGCTCGCAACGACGCCGGCCGCTCGCGCTTGATCTTGATCAAAGTCCCTACGTGTGCGCACATCGTAGGGCGCGGCCCGCGAGGAAACGAGGCGACTTGTCCGCGAATAGTTGCGACCGCGAGGCCTTCTATCGAGGTACCTAGAGTCTTACACGAAGTTTGGCGTCGAGTATTGCTCCGGATTTATCGGTCCGGCCGGCATCGTTGGGAGAACGTCAGAAATATATTGCTTAACAAGACTGTTACATGTTGAGCAGCCCAACTAGGTGTCTCTAGCTATGCAGCCAGTAGCCCGAGTTTCACTGCACCAAATGGGCTGTGTCGCAAGGCGCAGACTCACCTGCATGCTCACCCTCCAGATCTACCTTGCAAACGAGCTGCCGGTCGCGCTCGCGTCAGCAGACAGGTACGAAGCGAATAGATGGGTCTAGAAATAACTCACCGCACTGCGGGACCTTCGAACACCTCCCCAGGGTCGTATCGGATCGCGTACTCAGGCCGCGGGCCTCTCACGACTGGGGCGAGGTCTGCCCGGCTGTCTGCCTTCGTCGTGTACGGTCCGGCCACCTGGTTCCGTGGAAGAAGGGCGCGAAGCGCGGCCTTGCGCCCGATTCCTTGTTGCAGGCACGCGATGATGTCTGTGAATGTTGGCAGTCTCGAACATCTCGAAATCTACAGCAGGAGGACTGCGTGTGCGAGCAGATGCCCGCCGCCAAGATAGAGTACATTTTGGCACCCTGCACTACACCCCTCTCCCGTGTTGTCGTCGTCGCCGTTGCCGATATTGAGGGCGGCACGATGCGCGATGTGCGACGTCCGCAATTGGTACCTCCTGTTCCCATGGACCGCCCATAACCAGACAGTCTCGAGCCCTCGCGCGCACGTCTACGCCAATCGAGCGCTCTGCCGCGTACCTTCTGCGTCCTGTCGCATGGGGATGATTGTTTCGCTTTCTGCCCCACATCTGCCTCCGCACCACTCACCGTTCTCCACGTTCGCGCGCAGGCCTACCCACCGGAACACCGCGCCTCGCCCAAATCGCTGCGACCAATGCGCAACGTCTTCGTAAGATTCCCGACGTGGAGATGCATCGCGCTCCACCGGGAAGCACTCGTTCGTGCTATTCGCGCGGCTACAAAGCGATCCAGGGGGCGAGGAAATCGATCGAATAAAATTGTCCCCGCCCTCGCATCGCACCCTGATACGACGGCCGCCGCGCGACTAGGACAAACCGTGAGCAAGGTAGCGTGATTGTCCATGCTCCAAGCGACCACTCACCGTGTTCTGAGACGTTCACGAGTCGATTTCGCGGCGTCGCGAGTGCGGGACGTGTTCGGTGCTCCCCTGCGAAGTTGGGGACAATCTTCCCACTGCGCGCAGATCGAGCCTCTGGGCGATGCGGGTCCATTGATGTACACAGCAGTCTTGTCCCGCCACTGTCTCGGCAAATGCTTGAGGAAGAGCGTCGAAGAACTGTTGGGGTCCTGAGGGTGCCCTGCGGGATTCCGAGCACGGCTCGGTCTCGTTTGGCCGTCCGCGCGAGCTCCGGCTTGCGCTGTCGCAAGGAATGGGACATTGTAAGCGAGGAGCAGTAGATGCTCGAAACGACCGGCGAACATACAGAAATCGGGCAGTTCATGCGCCATTCGTGCCGTGCTATGTCATTCGCAATACTGAGGTTGTTGTACATATCGGGAAACGGCGCCGCGGCCGCAGATGTCTGTCGTACGGCGCCGTGTGTGGCTGCTCGTGTACCGGATGTGCTTCAAATCCGAGCACGTCAGTGCTCGCGAGGCGTCCGCGCCGAGTGCGTACGATGTCGAGTTCCCGCGCCCCCGCCGTGTCGAACCATCTTGGCGACGATAGGACGCATTCCGCGCCCATTCTTATCGACCAGGGTCGTGCTCAGCCGTCCTGAGCGCCAGCAGATGTCGGTTGAGCGAAGCGGGGGCGCGGCGGACCGCGTCGAGAACCTCAAGGGCCAACTTCGCGCGCGTGTTTGAGGGCCGTCCTATGAGCGCATAGCGGATGAACGGTGAGCCCCTGGACGTAGCTAGAGCGCGTACCGTGATTTCTGGCTCGTACGCGTCCCGGACGTAGCGTGCAGGACCAGAATAGTGTTGTCTCCTATGCGCGCGGACCGACGCCGATGTTCTGGAAGTGTCCGTTCGCCAGGCGATGTTGTAGCGTACGGGGCGACGGCCGTGAGTACTGCCATCCGCCGTCCAATTCCCCAGCGGTTCACGGCCTTGGTACGTGCTGGTTTGTGCGAATGCACTCGATTCGAGACCCCGGGCGGGCAGAGCATCTTGCAAGCGGCGGCGCTGCACGAAGCGGCTTGTCCGCATCCGCTATCGTCGGCCAGGGTCGCATGCGTATCCGAGGCGCGCCGTCGCTCGATCGCGTCGAAATTAGCACGATATCGAGTGCGTCTCGACCGTCCTATGAGCTAACCGCATCACGAAGACGCACGGCGTTGTGTGTGCGCGTCTTGGCCATCCTGCGAGCGAATCACGAGTCAGCAGCGCGTCCTGAACCTCGAACGCTCGGAGTACGTACGACGCCCGATCTGACCGCTCGCGGGGAACAGTCGCACCCCGGACGTAGCGCGGCGCTGCTTGCGCGTACGAGCGGGCCGATGGCGTGTCGTCCATGCCGTGTTCTTGTCCGCCGCGCGATGTGCGACCGAGCCGGACGAACCCGTCGAGTTCGTTTGGGGGGTGCCTCCGAGTCGTCGCTGGCGGGTACGGCAGGGTGTCGCGGAGTGTGTGGGCTGGGGTCGAAGCCAGCGGCGTGTATCGGAAGCGGCGGCCGCAAGACGTACACGCCGAGAGCGGGCAGCCGTTCCGACGTCCGCTACACACCTTCCCCCCCATCGAACAGTCCTGGAAACGGCGGGGGACGATGCCGGCCGTCCCGGGGCACGCCCACGCCAAATGGCGCGGCGGCAGGCCGCGGCAAGGAGCCTGTCCAAGGGGCGCCCTCGCTCGATCGCGTCGAAAATGAGCACGATATCGTGTGCGTCTCGACCGTCTTACGAGCGAGCCGCGTCGCGAGCACGCACGGCATTGCGTGTGCGCGTCTTGGCCGTCCTGCGAGCGAATCACGAGTCAGTGGCGCATCCAGAGCGTCGGACACCGCTAGGGAGTACATACGACGCCCGATCTGGCTGCTCGCAAGGCGCAGTCGCGCCCCGGACGTAGCGCGGCGCTGCTTGCGCGTACGAGCGGGCCGATGGCGTGTCGTCCATGCCGTGTTCTTGTCCGCCGCGCGATGTGCGACCGAGCCGGACGAACCCGTCGAGTTCGTCTGGGTATTCCCTCCGAGTTGTCACCAGCGACGTACGCGACGCACCTTCACCCCCATCGAACAGTCCTGGAAACGGCGGGGGACGATGCCGGCCGTCCCGGAGCACGCCCACGTCAAATGACGCGGCGGCAGGGCGCGGACGTGTGCGGGAATGCGTGTTTCGGCGCATCTGCGCGTGGAAAACACAAGGAAACGAGCGAAATCGGCGCAAATATTTTTTGCCCCCAGCGCGCTGGGACTCACGGGGTGGGTGCTCCCTGATTCGTGGGAGCTGTGCGTCGTCGATTTGAGCCCGTGGGGGGAGTTGGCGAGGCGCGAGAGCGTTGGCGAGTTGGGGGAGTTGGCGGCGGATGGGGTGTTGTGTGTGCGCGGCGGATTTTGTCGTGGGGCGCTGGGGTCGTCGCGGGTGGTAGAGGGCGATCGGGAGATGGGGTATGTGCGCGAGACGCGTCGATACGAGCACTTTCCAGCGTGTTGTGGCTGTTTTTGAGCGGGGGACGATCTGAAAAATCGACGTTGTCAGCGCAATTTCTGTCCGGATGACTTGAGAACTTACATGGCACATGAGAAACGTCGTATGTGCCGTTCAGTGCTAACCTGGAGCGCGCCAGAGAGTCGTAGGTGGCGGGAGAACAGATGGGAGGTCGGGAAAGGGCGGCCGACGAGGAAGCGGCATGGCGGCCGCAGGATGGCTGAGGCATCTTCGTGCATGCACCCACGTCGTCGTCTATGTTAAATCGACCTCCTCCCCGCGTTTCAACGCGGGGCGTCCAGTATGGCGGCGGCGGGAGATGTTCTCTGCCGGCGCCTATGGGGTGTCCCACCATGGCGCTGTCAGTACTATACACGTCGAAACGGGCTGTAAACGTACATAGATAATGCTCGATGTAGTAGCTATTCAGTCGCGTAGAACGCACTCGCTGGCCGAGGGGTCTGCAGCTGTTTTGACCGTTTTCAGGCGAAGGACGTCGACGGCATCTTTGTGCGCGTGCATGCGCTACAAGCACAGCGCCATGCGTATATTCCGAGCATCTTGAGGCGGGCGTAAAGGAACATGTGCGCCGCCGTACGTGCGGATCGCGCGTTGTGTCGAATCCTGTCCATCTGGCGACGTGGGTAGCGTGTCCGCGCCACACCGAGGGCGCACCCGGGCGACCTTGAACGAGCCCCGGTGTGGGCCAAGTCCTGCGCAAAACGACTGGTGAGCAGCGTTGGCCACGAGCCGGACGCCGACCATGCACGTACCGGCCTCGGCCGCATTTCCGGGCTCGCTGGACGAGGGACGGACGGCCGTATCGGGCTCATTTCTGGGTGTTCCAGCCGTCAGTAAGCACACGCGCACGACGCAAGCGTCGCCGCCTCCGCGGCGGCCAATTTCGGTCTGTGTCTATATCGAGCGGGACCCGCCTCCGAGTCGGCGCATGCCTCGACGGGCGAGCAGAGAACAGGTCGTCTTCGGGGGAGATGGCGTATCGCATGCTCTGCGGGTCGCTGCAGAGGTGACGCTCGAGACTGCGCTCTACTCCGCGGGCGAGCAGAGTCCCCCGACGTCGACGCTCGCCTCGCTTCATGGCCGTCACGGCGTGTCTCTCACATATGTCTCCCCCTGGTCCCAGTGCGTCGCGGCGAAGTGGACGCGCGCCGGGCGTGTTGTGCAAGGATGGCGTCCCCCGTGCATCTCCCCGGACGAGCGGCGGAGACGGTCGTGCACACACCTCAGACGAGCTCAAGCGTGCACGCAGGACACGGCACCGTAGCCGTGCAGTACGCCATCGCCATCGCACCTCCCGGGCTCCCGAACGCGCGTCCGCGTCAGCGTGCACACCCACGACGCTCGCACGGCGGGGCACCCGACCCCACGCGGGACCCGGACACCCTCCCCAAAGCCCCGTTTCGCGTGCCCGGAGGAACAGGTCCGCGGGGCGGCGTCTGTGCTCGGCTCGCGCGGGACGCTCGCGCCACACAAACAACACAAAAACAAAGATTAGCGCACGGGACGGGTATATATTGCGGGCGACGACAGGCTGGGGGCTGCACCGGGCCTCCCGTGCTTTCGTCTTCGCTTTCTGCTCTGCTTTCTGCTCTGCTCTCCGCTAGGTGCACCCTCCCGCATCGTGGCACGTGTGCGTGTACGCCCGCACCGCTGTCCGCGCTGCTGCCGATGGCGTACGCGGCCAGTCATGGCGCAGCGCGTGGTGCGGCGCGCTGCGGCTCGACTCGACGGAGGTGCGTATGTCCGTCCGCCGCTGCACTCGTTCCCCGCGCTCATAGACACCAGGTACGCAGGCATGCATCACCGCACTCACCTGCGAGTGCGGAGCGTGACGGCGTGGGCGTCGAGCGGGCGCGTCGGGACGTTCGCACACGCGAGCCGGGGGTGCGTGTCGGCCTCCGCGGGTGCGAGAGAGGGGACTGGTATCTGTCATACGTAGGCGCCCGTCAGTAGACGTAGTACGAGGCTCCTGCATGTACTTACCGTACCTGGCACCG